TTTGGCACCTTTTTTCAAACATTTAGTTAAGGGCTTGGTAATTTGGGCAAAGTTGTTGATAAATCGCCTATAATAACTATGATTTGCTTGGTAGTTTGAGGAATTGGGTAATTTTTTACAGCACTCATTTTGTCAGGATTGGGTTTTACTCCTTCTGGGGTAACGATGTGACCTAAGTAAGCGACTTCTTTCTTAAGAAATTCTGACTTGTCAAGCTGAACTTTAAAGTTAGTGTCTCTGAGTCGGTTGAAAACATCTGTAAGTTTTTCGATGTGTTCTTGAAGAGAACTGGAAAATACGATAATATCATCAAGATAAACAGCACACTTTTCGTTGGTAATGCCGCGAAGGATATTGTCCATGCAACGCTGGAATGTGGCAGGGGCATTTTTGAGGCCAAATGGCATTCGAAGAAATTCGCAATGGCCATTTGCAGTACTAAATGCTGTTTTTGGGATGTCCGATTCGTTCATTTCGATTTGATTGAACCCACTGGCTAAATCCAAGGTTGAGAAATATTTCCATTTGCCTAGTTTGTCTAACAGATCGGAAATGTTCGGAAGAGGGTATTTTTGATCTATTGTTATTGAATTGAGTCCGCGAAAGTCAATTCCTGGTTTGTTATTTTTTATTTATTATTATTAAAAACATTCCTGGTTTATTGTTAGCCGATCTTAGGTAGAATGTATTTTTAGACCAGCGCAACCCAAAGAAATCGCCCGTCGGTCATCTACTTTGCCGAGATTTTAAAAGTGACTTGGAATTTTAAATTAACAATAAACATAAAATAAATAATAATAAAAAAATAAAATACAATAAAGTATTAACAGTTGAAGATCAAATTGCAACTTTGTTATTAAGCATTATTTAGAAATTGTTCCATGTGTAATTGGTGGCATATTGGAATACTTAAGCATCCAAAAAGAAAAATTACGATCTTTGCTTCAAATTACGAAAATTTTTGATATCAAAAAAGTTTTCTTCTACAATTTTTTGATGAAAAGTCACAGCGGTAATTATGTTTTTTTGCCATTAACAGAAAGTTACAGGTGGATAGCCCTTGTCAACAATAACAATAATTTGTCAAACTGTGACTTACTTTGAATTTCCTTTCACGAATTTGTGGATATGCGATTAGTTCAGGGGAAATGTTACAGTAACTTAGCAGAAGCTGAAAGGACTTACGCAGAGCACAATAACTGACACTTTCCCAAGCACCCAATAAATACCGAGGAAGCGCTACATTCCTACCACGTTTGTACGATACACACAGCACAAGGAGATACAAATAGAGCACGAGTTAATTAACTGAAAACGAGAAGCTGCTTGATAAGAGTGGATAATAAGAAGATTACACAGGCACTAGCTTGTTTGCAGTTAACGATTCAAATGTTTGGTGTTGTATGGATTATTTAGGTAAACACCAAACCCCGCAGAATTCGAGGTTATGAGAACAAGTTGACATGTCGAAAGTACGTTGCGCAGTCAACGAATCTTGTTGAATTTACCGTTTATATTATTGTCACGAAGTCACAGGTATTTGCGCAATGTTAAATAGGCAGATTACCTTGAAAAACATTGCTGCCGTGTTTCTGATATAGTTTTTTTGGAAATTTCTCAGTTTTTAATAACAATTAATGTCTTTTACTATTTTTTCTGTACTCCTATAACAGCGCCAGACAACACCTAAAGAGGAATGACGCCAATTTTGAATCACTCTCTCACATTACTCAGTAATATTTACAAATGGATATATTATAGACTTGCTTTAAAAAAAGCGTGTGATTTATAACGAAGAACAAACAAGAATAAAAACTTAACGCTAAACTGCATTTCCATTGTGCAGAACAATTCTTATCAAGTGTTAAATTCCATCTCTTAACGGGAGGCTTCGTTCCTTCATGTCATCTTTTGTAGTTGGAGTTATTTTATAAATTTTGTTTTTGACGTAAACCCATAAAAATAAATCAATTTTTGTCAAATCGAGCGAACGATCATCAACTATCAACCTCTCAGGCAATTAATTATTTAGGTACTCATGAATTTGAGCTGTGTAATGAACTAGAGCTCCTTCATGTAAATACCACATTCCTTCCTTGATAATTATCCTTAATGTCCCTATAATGATATAGTCCCTATAATCCCTCCCTATAATGATATAGAAGGTAAATGATCCAGTAAACGTGGAATCWAATTTTGACACTTAATTATTGACTTCCAYAGCCACCTTACAAAATGTAGCAGCCTTTTGAAATTTTTAAATAAAATAAATTATAATTTGAAAACGGTTGATTTCACAGCGTAAATCCAAATTTGTAACTTTATAAATTGTCTATCTAATGACGTATTAATATACAGGTACTTCCATTTGAAAAAAACAAAAGTTATATTGCGTTAAAAAGTTTTAGATTGAAGTCCACATTGTTAACACCCTGTACAACGTAGTGATATTTTGGTTCAATAGAATTCTTAACGGATCTATGGTGATTGGAAAGAAGTATTTTTTTGTATCTCTAACTGCTTTTTTTGCTTCTACAATGAATATTTAGGTACTGTCAGAGCTATGTTAATATACGTCTCTATGTCATCTCTATATTACACGTCATGAACGAATAGAGATGGCGGCGCTTAAGTGAGCCTACCCACGGCTGCCTCTGGTGGAGCGTCGAGGTACCAAGGGCTAAGGGCGTTGGTCGGGGGTTGTACTGACGTCGAAAGTACGCACAATTGGTTTTTGATCGATATAGTTCCACGCACCGGGCAAGCAATTGTTTACACCCGATTAAGTTAGTAGTGATAGATTAAGTTAGTATCATATAAGATGTTTTTAAAATGTGCGCACTTTGTGCGTCAATAACTTTTATATAAAACTATTTTTCGAAACTTTAACACCAACGGATATAATGGACTCTCTCGCACTAAAAAACCACCCTGTATCTCTCGCACCGGGTTTATTTGTTGAGTCCGAACTTAAAAGATTTATATTAATGTAAATGAGCTGGAACAGTGCCGCATTAAGAAATATTTAAATAAAATTTATTTTTCACCAAAATTTTAAAATACAACCACACATCGATTTACTGATTGGCTATTTAATATTTATTGATTAGCCATTTATACAGGGTGTCCAAGATAACGCATTGCATGGATCTTTTTGAAACCGTAAGAGATAATAAGTCGGTTAAATGAGGCAGGGTGCAATGGTCGATATACATATACAGTCGACGTCACATAAAAGTAGACGATTAAATATTTGCTGTGTAAAGCTGACTTTCCACCTTGATCTATCATTGCGTAAGTAGAATATTAACAAATAAATTTTCCTATTATTAAAATGACTCAGTTAAAAGCACTTGAAAAAACTCGAATAATTACATTAATCGAGGAAGGATGGTCCACGAAAACAGTAGCTGAGAGATTTGGAAAATCGAAAAGCAAGATTTATAGAGATTAATTAAATTGTCAAATTAAAACAAGTTTGTGTACTACAGGAGCGGATCCAGTTTTCGAGTCAGGGGAGGGGGGGATCAAGTCGTAGAAATTCACCACCCACCACCCCTCCTGAATCCGCCCTTGGTCTACTAGTACTATTGTCAGCTATGTAAGTATACGTCTCTATGTCATCTCCATATTACACGTCATGGACGAATAGAGATGGCGGCGCTTAAGTGAGCCACCTGCGGCTGCCTCTGGTGGAACGTCGAGGTACTAGGGAAGGGCGTTGGCCGGGGGTTGTACTGACGTCGAGAGTACGCACAGTTTAGTTTTTTGTTCGATAGTTCCACGACGGCACCCGACAACTATACCTACTGTACATGGTATTTTCAAAGCAGAAGTATTCATTTTAATAAAGCCACCACCGCCAGGCGGTCTCTTCAGACGCAAAAATCGAATTTTTAGAAAACTAATTTCGGGGTCATGCCTCGTCATATTCTAAGAACGGTTTTGGAAAACTTTGATACGATATGAACTGTTTTCCTTGAAATTGATGAATGTCTCTTTTGACAAAAAAAACAGTTAATSATAAAAAACAAAAAAAAAAACAGTTAATGATAAAAATAATACAATTTCATTTACTATTTACTTTTYTTTGTCGACGCAGATTCACGGGATGTTTCGACAAAGTTCAARARGCGTTCATTCATCATTCAWTTTTTTCAAAAGTACCTTTGAAAACTACTTAAAAAATARAAAAACAGAAATTTAGGAATAKTAAATTATCTACCGCTTTATTTTTAAATCTACCGTTTTTTTCCTATCAATTCTACCATTTTCGAAGTTCTTSGTCTGSCAACGCTGCCTGTTCGTGATGGCATGGTGAAAAGATGAGTTACTTGCTTKTAACCTCTTAGGTTTGTTTTTGTTGTTTACCCARAGTTTTCCGTATTAACCTAAAAAACGCTTGATYSGTGTGGTGCACGTTTGGTGCTTAAATTTAGTGAATACTATACTAATCTCCGATTCTTCCGGTGAGAGCCCCAATTATTCCTTGGTCGTTTCTTGCATTGCATGTTCTTTTCACGTCTCGCATTAATTGCTTGATCCTTTCCAGGTGGGTCATCTGGCTTTTGCTTTTCATTAATTTCTCTTGGTCTCGTTCATTGTTACTCATTATTTTGCTTGATTTTTATATGTTAGACCGGTTCTGAAGACTCTTGACTACATCACCAAAAATGGCTTTTGTTCTGGATGCTGTTGGGGATCGTCCAGATGATGCCCCAAACAATCAGTTGTTCTCTTTGAACAATGGTAATATTCGCGTCTGATTTTTTCATGACCATTTAAATGTTTACTAATTTATGTTTTATTTTCCAGATAGTTCGACAATTGCAAAGCCTTCCTCAGTGGAGGTGAGAAGAAAATTGAGAGACGCAATCTTTTCCTTCTCAGATTCTACTGAGGGATTAGCAGAGTACAAGAAGCGTCTCTTTGAACTGAATGGCAACACAAGCCCGGCTCAAAGTCACGCAAACGTGCCTAAAAAACATAAACTAGTGAAGCCTTTGATTCCGGAGACTTCGTTCGRGATGAAAAAAGGTGWCTATACTCGCAAGTAKTGCGTTAGGYGCTGATCTGAGCCCCTTTTWAAGAGCTAAACGGCCCAGAACTCAAAGCAATTGAATGAGTGTTTGGGTATGCCATTAACAGACGGTTAAACAAGAAGGCAATTTCTGATGATTTATTATTACTTAAAGGAAAATAATTGGTTGCAATGTGACTTCAAACCATTTAGATTGGGTTTTAAATATTAAATTAATTTTACTAGCTAATTTTTATTGTGTCCAATGCATTATTATAGTCGCAATGCATTTTTTTCTTACTAATGTATTTTTGCTTCAAGATGAAAATGCGCACAGTTACAGAATCAAAAAACAGTTACAGTCTGAGGTGCAAAAAGCGCTAAGCAAAGCGGTTGTTACGCCCGACTTTGAGCAGCTGGCATCTGTGC